CAAATTATAATGTCTGATGTTTATGGTTATAGCAATGCACTTTAATTATAATGTTTATCAAATTTCTTTGTAGAATTTAACGTTACTGGTACATATAACAACTTATTGTTGCTTTTGGTTTTACATGGCCAATATGAAAAGAGTCATATGAGCCTCCATAGAGGTTGGTACACCGAACAAAATCAATTTATAAAGCTACTATACAACATGTTTTAATCAATGAGTCGCATCATGTTGTGATAAAACAAAGATCATGTGGATCATTTATATTAAAAATTATTGTATTAAAAAATCAAATTGCTCTAATATAAATATTAAATATTTTTATTTAACAAATTTGGTTCAAAAACTCTAAAATGAATCTAACATTTTTTATTAAAATTTCACCTAAGACAATGCCACCTATTAGTATGATATGTATTTAATTTATGTTCCCCGCATTTAACGCGGGTCATAATCTAGTTAAGTTAAAATAAAAACAATACCTTTAGTTATTTTCCACAAAATACATTTGTCAATATATTATGACATCATTTTTATTCTTGTACAACATGCACGTTGTCCGCACAAATAGTAATAGCATAGAGGAAACTTCAATGACTAAAGGTGCTTGAAGATTTTTTTTTTTTGAGGAGTTGGTGAGAAAAAATAAAGGAAGGAACACAACGTAAAGTAATGACTCATCAGTTGAATGTTACTCTTATGATTTTTATTTTTTACTATATTTACTTACACATTAACTAGAGAGAGAAATACGAGAGTTGTGTTAGGGTTTTCATCTTCTTGATGAATATATGTTTGTTAATGTTTGTTATCTTAGTGATCACTCTATAACTTTTTGTTAGTTTTGTTCGGGACAAGTTTGTTATCAAAAGATAATAAACTTTTGTGTAAATTGTTATCGTGAATCTTTACTCAACTTCTTTGAGATTTTAACTTTTTGAATCTCAAATACTTGTATATTCAAGTATTTATTTGTTAATCTTGGTGGTGTCTTGGTGTATGAACATGCTATCAGAGCTTGGTTTTGAGTTGAAAATATTCACGTACCGGTGTTTATTTGTTGTTGAACCTAAAGCTCCTTTTGTAACATTGTAATCCATTATGAGCGACAAAACATATTCTGATCAGAATATATTTCCATTAATTTCTTTGGTTATTTTTTCAAAATAGATGAACTAGCGTTTATTGATCATGTTTTAGGGTTTTCACAAGAAAACTCAAATATATACTTTGTTTTTGTGCAACTATGTAGATTTTTCAGTTAGATTTTGTGTGGTCGGTTAGTTACCTTAGATTTCTTGAAACTATATATTAGTTAACCATATGAATTTTGTCATTATAGTGATTAACTTGTTTTCAAATCCTTATAATTTGAAGTGATCAGTAAAAGAAAAGTGGTTTTCAAGCCTTGCAAAGAACAATTAAATAAACATATGTATTTTTAATTTTGATGTGCATATTTTGAGTTTTTTTTAGGGTTGTCGTCTAGTGTTGTTATTTATTGGGTGTATTTGATAAAACTAGATGGAAACAGGTAATTAATAGCTTGAAATTGATAGTTGATAGCTGAAACTATAGTTTTTATTTGTATATAACTAGTTGATCAAAGTAGTTGAAAGCTTTTTGAATGTGTAATTAAAATGACATAATATTATAATTTGTTATTATATGTAGGCGCTTTTTGTTAAATGCTATTTGAAGTAGATTTTAAATTAAGAATGTTTTGTTTAAAATAAAAGTTAAAATTTTTTACTTTTGAACAAAGTTTTATTTTTTTAAGTTTTCTTTTAAAAAAATAAAATAAAATAAAATCTATTAAGCTTTTACAACATTTATGTCGAATACGTCCTGAAACTTGCTAATATGCAACAATGTATACAAACCCTATAAATTTAATGGGCTTAGATAAAGATATTATGAATAAAAAAAAGTTTTGAGATGATTTCTTTCTTGAGAGGTGCAACCATTATCTTCCTTTTTAGCTCCAATTAAAATTCTCTGAAGTGGAAATCCTTTTTCTCTTTTTTGAATTATTGGTTATTTACATACCACCCATGCATGCCCACCTCGAGTTTACCTTTTCCTGTTTTGCAAATTCGAATTTCATAAATCAATTATTCTTTTTATTTAAATAATCTCACTCAAAATGCATACATTTATCATGTATTTGTAAGCAAAGATATATATTCTCAATGTTATAAAAACGTTATATTTTGATAGGAATCAAAACGAGCAACTTGCTGATAAATTCTGATCCAATATAAATGTCACATGTTAAGAAAAAGTGCAATTTCAAATAGAGCAGTTTAATTTCTCATATTATATGTATACATTGTGCATATTATTATAATTTTGTGTCGTCTCATTAAAGCGAAAGCTTGTCCAATAGCATACACATAATAGACTAATTTGACCAAAAACATTGAATTTAATTAGAAAGAAAAGATATGGAAATTAATAGATTAGTCAACCATATGATGTGCATGCTTTTAGTAGTTGATTACTCATGACCCATGCAAAGTGATTAATGCCAACCAAGAAGACAAAGACAAGTCGACTCTTGTTTAAAGTTCATATTACCAACTCATAATTATCAAGTTTGACCTTTTTCATTGGAAGCATGTTCATGTCTGCTGCTTTTCTTTCTTGCTTTGAGATTGTTGTTTTTATTTACAGGTAGTGCATTTTGTAATATAATTTTTTTAGCAATACATATTAGAAAAATAATTTTGTAGCGTAATAACTATTATTTTTATAGTATTTAGTTTTCTTGATTTACCATTAAATTCATTTGAGATGTTTAAAACCAATTATTTTAGGCGGAAGTTAATAGTACTTTTTTTTATATATAAATTACCATTAAACTTTTTGGTACATAATTTACTATTATACTATGTCCCCGATCATCTTCTTCTGTCAACACCATCTACTCTAACACCATCTACTCTGACCAACACCATCCACCTCCAACAATAAACACCACCATTTGCCACTATAAACACTTGTCTCCACCATTCGCCGCCACCACAACAAAATTAATCTAAAATCATTGAATGGATGTGGGTACTAGTGGCGCACAATTCAAGAAGAAAGTGACGAAAGAGGGGTGTGTGGGTAGGGGGGCATAGTCAAAATTTATATTTCCAGGTCTAATATGTATAAAACTAAAGTATAGAGACTACTTCTACAAAAAAAATCAGGGGGGGGGGGGCAGGCCCCGCTAGCCCTATATAAGATCCGCCCCTACAGGCAATGCAAAAATATTTTTACTTCGTAGATGTTTATTTTTTAAAAGACCACATACTTAAAAAGATGTGTGTGTGTCTTGTTCTTAAAACAAACATGGACAACTTCTAATATTTACATACCAGTTCTAAGTTCTAACCTTACAAAAAATGCCTAAAAGAAGAACACTTTCGAGGTTACTAATCTCAAATCAAATATAAAGGAAAAAAATAAAAAATAAAAAATAAGACATACTTTTAATCATTTTATTGTTATATATATATATATATATATATATATATATATATATATATATATATATATATATATATATA